AACAGCTGATGCATCAGCTCTTGACACATGTCAGGACATCACAGCTCCACGTCCAACTCCGCCTGATGATGTGGAAACCTCAGACGGGCCTACCAAGCACCAAGGCGAACAAGCTTCTGGAGCCATGCCAGCCATGCAAGCTTCCGCGCTGAACCCATCCTGCACACATGGACTTGAGGTATCCTCGTCCAATGCTACTGATGCATATTCCGCCGATGGTAATCATCAAGCTCCCCTGACAGATGCCGCATCTTTCAACAAGCAGCCCGAGAACTTGCGTCACCCCCCATTTGCAACCGCGCGTGCCTGCAACAATGCCTCCTACTGTGTGGCTGAGCAGCAGCCTGATGTGCCTCCGAAGTTGTTGTAGGCCCAGCCCGTGCCCAGTCAGGGCGGATTCGTGGAACCCCATTCTCAGTCATTTCGCTCTCTCAACTCCGAGAGCACTGACACTCACATGCCTGCTCATGCTGCACACGATCCTTCAATACAACTACATCCCTCAGCTGAAGGAGGAATCCGGACAGGGTCACTCAACACCTCACGCATAGACCGAAGTGCAGGACATCGTACTACTCAGAAAGCATTCAAACGCAGCGGCAACTTCAACCAGAGGAATATGGACCACCCAAATCAGCACAAGTGCGTCGGAGGCAGAGCTAGCAAAAAGCCCAAAAACGTAGTGCGTGGCAACGACATGTGATTCCAGGGCTTGAGGAATCCTCGCCCTCACACCCAGCCTAGCAATCATGGCGCATCTCGTGATCCAGAACATGCTATGGCTAACTCGCAGCTCTCAGGGACTTGGACTGATCAACCGATTGGCATTTGCCGCCTGCGCTCTCCAATCAAGGGCTCCTGTGTACCCAGATGGGAACGCGTCGCAAACAAACAGCGTGCAAGCTCAGTCGTGTAATGATCCCGGGGTGTCGCACGCGAGGCCCCCTGATCCTTACATTGCTGAGGTTGATGGGGCCAACTGTGCTCCGCATGTACAGTCTGCGCGCAACTAGTAAAGATCACCCGGGCCAGCTTTTTTTTTGAATTATTGTAAGGAGGTTCGTTCAGGGCCGCGACAGCCACTCATTTGGCTTCAAGCCTAACCAGTGCCAAAGAAAATCCTTAACTCTAGCCATACGACTCAAGCCTAGCTCTACCCATGCCCTTGAGCTCGAAGTTTGACTCTTCTCCCCTTTCAGCAGCTGCGTCGTGCGCAGCGGGTTGCGGTGGGATCCTATTAAGGCACCTTAAGCCCTAAATTTCTAGAGGCTTCCCCTTGATGCGCGAGCGCAGATTGGGGGATCACTGGGAGCGGGCGGACAGAGAGTGCTCGACCGGGACCAAGACCAATGGCTTGCCGGGAGCAGGCGAAACGGCTCGACCCGGACCAAGACCAGGGGATCACGGGGAGACAGAGGAATGCAGAACTCGACCCGAACCAAAACCAGAGGATCACGGGGAGACAGGCAGAAGTGCAAGCTCAACCAGGACCAAGTCCAGTGGATCACTGGGAGCACACAGGCAGAAAAGAAAGACAGGCGGAGACAGAGGAAGGACGGTGGGAACAAGAATGCTGCGGACAGTGTGCAGCATCACAAACACTTAGGATCAAGCTCCATATCAGGACTTACGAACAGCCGTCAAACCTCTCTCTAGGGCGGAGATTTCTCAAGTATGACCGTGCAAGCGCTGCCGCAACAAGCTAACCAGGCTCGGGGGAGGAGACTTGCCGTCCTCGGGCCTTGCTAGATGCAAATAGTACGGGACCCAAGCCTCAAAAAAATTGTCGCAGCTCAGCTAACTCTGAGCCTTGGATATCACACGCAAGCATGGTGAGCAACGAACTCCAGGAGCAACAAACTCATGGGTCGCTGTAAAAATACAGCTCAGCACTTTTGAAAATAAGAACTTATCAAACCCGTTTGACAGTGGTCTTGAGGCTAATCCTCTACTCTGTGGTTTAGGGTTTGGTTCGGCTATTGTTCAAGGTTAAGTTGAGGTCTTGGGCTCCTTTAACAGCAAACTGGATCAAACCAATGGGCAGATATTGCAATTTAAGTAAACCTCAGACGGCCAAAGTTAGTTCTTGCCTTGTACACCAGCAGAATTTAAGTAAGTTGGTAGAAGCTGTCAATTTTCTTCAACCAGCTCTGCCAGCGCAATGCTTAGCCTCGCTCCAACCCTTGGACTTGGTCCTGGTCAAGTAGGTGGTCACACTGCGTGTGGATTCTGCTTGCCTCAAATAGAGCTTCGAGTCATCTAACACGTTCGAAGAGGCTGCTTCTCACTGTGTCGCCTCCCATGCCAGCTGACTTGATCGCAACTTTATTGCTCTGGCGCCTGCGGTGCCACAATGCACGTTCAGGATTTCCAACGGGTTACCTTTCTTGGAAAGCAACGCACTAGAGGTGGCTGACAAGTGCACACAAGGCATCCACTTTGGATCTGCCCCCATTCTAGATTGGCCTGGGGGGACTTGAAGGCGGCCGTAAAGACTCTAACCGCTAAAGCTAGACTCTGAATTAAGTTCTGAGGGGAAGCTTCAAGCACCCCTTCAAGTCCCCTTCAAGTTCCCTTCGAAGAGAACCCCTAAAGTCCCCCTTGCAGTCGCCTTCAAGGCTTTATACCAACCTTCAATAGGGCTTCAAGGGGGGACTTTAAGGGAGGTTTCAAGCGGACTTGAAAGATCCGCTTTCAAGTTCCCATTAAAGTCCCTCTTCAAGGTCCTTTCAAGCCGCCTTAAAGCCTTTGCCCCTCGCCCCCACGGGCTTTCGCGCTTGGGAAAAGCTTGAGAAGGGACTTGAGAGAACTTAAGGAAGAGGCTTTGAAGGATGAAAAAGGGAGCTTTCGGGGGGAGTTTGACTTTAACAAACCGAAGGGTGGAACGAAGGGACTAAGGCGGGTTTGGTGTGGAGCAGAAAGGCGCTTGAAGGGGACTTAAGGGGAAAAAGCGAAAGGGGGGGGTAAAGGGGGGTTGCCGCCTTGAAGCCTCCCTTCAAGTCCCCTTTCAAGCGCTCTTGAAGCACCCCTTCAAGCCTCCCTCCCCTTCAAGCCTTCTTCAAGCCCCCTCAAGCCTCCCTTCAAGTCCCCTTCAAGCTTCCCTTCAAGCCCATTCGACGCTGTCTAAGAACTTACCACACTATCAGGTCCAATTTTCCTCTTTGGCCAGCCTGCACGTTCTCCAAGCTCTACAAGGGTTGCAGTGTTGGCTTCATTTGGTTGGTGGTTGAGTGGACTAGAAATTTTCAAAATCGGTGCGCGGCCGTGTGTTGACGAAGTGCCACTCTGACGTGTGTCTTGTAGTATTTGCCTGCAGTTGCTAAGCAGCATAGAGGGAGCAATTGAACTGATTCTGGAATTAAGAGAAGCATACGGAACAAACTTATGTTTTCCAATGCAGCCTGTCTTCAAACTCATTCCGCATGTTTATCAAGCTTGTCTGATGGTAGCTTGTTTTTAAGAACTTTTCCACTCCAGCAAAAGCGTCGTTTGCTCTACGTCCACTACACCAGAGCCAGATGCAAGTGGACCTTATGCAAAATCCAGCATGATCCACATCTCTGCCCGTGTACTGGCTTCTACTTTCATTTTCTAACCACCGTCTGGACCGGACTCTAAGCGGTTCTTGTGTTCACTCGAGCCTGTTTATGTGTCCACCATTGCCAGCAGGAGTGCCGCGTGTGTGAGCAAATATAAACACATTGTATCTACGTCTACAGGCGTAGATGACTCTGAATTTTATTTCTGTGGAAATTTTGTTTTATTCTTTGGAAAATGGTGGGACTGGACGCGTGGGAGCGCAGAAGTGGCGGGCAATTGCATAGGGCAGAAAGGATCCGATCTTTACAAAGGGGGAAGCTTCAGCACTGAAAACTCTGACGTTCTTCAAAGAGCAGCTTTTTAAGAAGAGAGGCCAGAGGTGAACTTAAAGGGAGATCAGGATGATTTTTGAAAAATTCTGGTTGACTTTTCTTACATGCTGTTTCAGTGAACTGATTGAACATTCATACTAATTTCAATATGTGATGACTTTGTTTGCGCATGCCCGTCACACCCCAGCAACGGAAAATAGAAGTCTGAGGTTTACAGAACGGCGCAAATTGGGGTGGAATGAAAGTGTGGCCCCTTCTGTTTGCAATATTTTTGTCGACCAACAAGCCTCAAACATAGGCAGGGTCATCGCAAGTGACGCGGGGTATTGACGAGAGCCCATATTCCCGCCTGCGGAAGTCAAGATCCTGCGCCTGATGGACCTGGTCAAGAAAGAGCAGGAGGTTGGGGGGATACGAGTGGCCCCGTTAGTAATGCAAACGCACTCAGGTCCAGCTCTGCCATTTGGCTGTCATGCAGATTTATACACCTTAGCAGTTGCTTTTCCGGGTTATGCAGTTTGAGCGCGTTGGACATGTATGCACTGGAGTGGTGTCCAAGGGAACGAACAAGTTCAAGCCTACGTGGAACATAACCTCAGAATGCGTTACTCCATGCGTGGTACTTGATACTTCTACCTGCACCTCTCCCTGGGCAAGCCCAAGACAACGCGATTTGCAAGCAGCAACCAAACCACACACAATGCTTTTCGCCCAAGCAAGGTCATAAGAAATGCAACAAATCCCAAAAAATTGTAACCACAGATTTCCGTATGATGTAGCCTTGACATGCAGCTTACTGAGGACGCGGGTTGCAGTGCTGCTTGCATTCCGTGTTGGCTGCGGCAAGTCTAACAAGTCAGTTTTTGTAGGCATAAGCGGGTAACCGGGGCAAGGGAGTTTTTTTGCACATTTGGGAAGGATGGAGTGACAAACACAGCCTATATGATGTGTTGTTGGGCTTGGAAATGCAGATGCATGTACAGCCAGCCTTGCAAGGACGAGCGTGTCTTGAGGAGTTTGATTCAGCTCGACGCTTGTACGTTCTGTTCAAGCAATAAGTTTTTTTTTTTTTTTTTTTTATGTTCCTCACTTTCAATGCCGAGACATGCCAAGTCAAAGCATGCTTGCATGCATGTTGTGAACAGCCTGAGGTTCTTCGTCTGTCCCAAGGCACCACGGACCCGTGCTTTTGCCTCAAGTTTGCTAGTGAATCTTGTCTGTTCGCGAAAGCCTTATAGCGCATGACAAGGTTCAGCTCCGTGCCAATAATGTCTTTGAGGGAGTCTGGTGGGATTGAGAGTTGAACATCAGCATTTGACACCGCGACTCCTCAAGGTTTCATTCTCGCATGAGGCAACTAGCCCGTGACATTAATGTGGTGGTGGACGGATGATCTAAAGAGCAGTGTTGGCCAACCTTGATGGGTCCGTGCCTTTGCATACCATTTTTCATGTACGTGTCTGTTATTGGCAAGCACGCAAATTATGTTGAATTCACCGCACCGTGCGTCCAGCCTTGATCCCAAATCGTGCAAAACAAGACAGACTTGGAGGGGAAACCTGGATATTGACAATGTGCTTTTGCAAACTCGTTCCAGACGCCACAAGGTTTCTCAGCACAAGCTTGAGCAATGCAAAATTCAAATTGAGTTGGGCTAGATGTGATTGTTCGGCGAGATTAATCAATTTGGATGGTTTCATGCTTGTGTGATGTATCATGGTCGTGAAGTAACGTGCACACCTTGCTTGCAGCGATGAAAGATGATCGATTCTCCTCTAAGGATGTGTCTTTACCATCAAGGCAGGACGAGCCCATCCACCATAGTAAGATCCACTAGTGCAGGAATTGATGCTTGACAGGTATCGCGAATTTGTGCTTGCAGTGTATGCCCTTACAGCTGTCGATGCAGCTGCAAGGCGCAGTGTGGAGGCAGACAATCCGATTCAGCCTTTGCACTGGAATGTGTCGTGACTGTTGAAATTGTTTTGGGATGTCCAACACACGACAGATGAGGAGCAAACCCGAGGTGAAACAGATTGGTACACTTGAAGTTTGTAGTGTCGTGCCTGCGCGCGTCATTCACGGAAAACTTGCACGCATGATGCAGTGGGGCAGTTGCAGAGTAGCTATCCAGTCTTCTCCGAGTTGAAGGATAAGACCATTGTCACGGATTTCGGCAAAAGGCGAAATGTAAGCCAAAAAGTCGGCGGGGCGGATTGCTGACCTTAACGCCTGGCAATCTTACCAGCTACACTGACCAGAGGCAGTAAATCCATCCAAGTAGACCATGGATAACGGCACATTCAATGGCCAGTTTCGAGGCCTCGAGATATCAAGAAGCAAGCTTGTTGAATGGCTTTGGCAGGGCGAGATGTAGAACTGGAACTGGCCCGTAGGCATGTACCATGTTTGCCGCTTGCTTGCTTCTATGCTCTCTGATTGGGGAGCTCAAGCAAAAAATCTTGTCATCTGAGCTGCAAGTGATGCATTCTCTTGCTGGGGGGTTGAGTGTGCAGGAAGCCGAGGAGGTGGAACTCCTGGAGGAGCATGGGCGGTGCCTTTTATGAGCATAAACAAGCTTTAAAGTTGGAAGCAGGGTAAAGTTAGTATTATTACCAGAGCTTCAGCAGAATAGTTTGGGTCCCATGGGTTGGAGCCTCGCTGAATTGTTTGGCTCCATGTTTGGGACAGTCAATGTTTTTCTTGCGCATAACAAACACTGGCAAACTGGCATCATTTGCTAGCTCAATAGTAGTCATCAGTCGATTTTGTGAATCGGCCTGTAGCTGTTTCTCAGCACATGGCCAAGCAGCGGAGCAATCATCATGAGCATCTTCAGCCATGTGCCATGGCTTCAGAGCTAGCTGCCGCAGAGTGGGAAAGCTCAGAATTCTCAGCTTGGAGTCTTTTCTCACTGCTTAGCGTGCTGAGTCTACGGCCTGCCGGTCCGGAATGCCATCATGCTTGTGGCCCTTGGCTCTGCAGAGAAGACTAGATGATGCATACATTTGCATGGCAGACTGCAAAGTTAAGGCTGGACAGCTTTTCCAGGCCGCTCAACGTGCTGCAGGCTTCGTGCCATTGAGATCCAGTGACAGCTTCACGAGCATCTCTCGCAAAGACTTTCACAGGTCATGTCAGGGCACAAGTGGCCCGCATGCCAAGGCTGTCTGTTTTGCTTGCTGCTGTTCATCAGGCTGTCTGTGCAGGAAATCACGACTTTCTGTCTCCAATGAGGATTGCAGCATTAAGAACAGACCCGCACGACCTCAATGTGAACGCGGTTGTGGCTCTGCCCTCATACGAAATGCTCCTTCGGAAGATGTCTCCTTTTTTCTCACGCATCAGGGCGCTCTGCTTTTGGAAGATTCCCCACGTGCTGCACCCGCTGTTGTGGTCCGGAAGGCTTGATTTTACGCGTTCAGGTTTCGTACTCCCCTGAAGTTCTAAGTGGCACACAGGCCCCCACGCCCGAGATTGTGCACAGAAGGATATGCCATGTGTTATGAGCACGCCGTCAGCGGTGGGCCGAGTGAGTGCGCTGCTTTTGCCAATCTTGTAGAGAACGCACCGAGGACATCGAGCAGAATCTCCGCTTGTTGCTCGAGGCATCAGGAGAGAGGCCTGAATGCACACTGTCATTCCAAGCGTTTGTGGCGCGAGGAATGGCGTCAGGTTGGGGCCATGCAAACGGGGCAGGAGGCAGATAAGGAAGATATGAATCAGATGCATCAGCAGCAGCGACAGCGGAGAAGATGTCCTGTGAGGAACAAGATGTGATCCGAGAATTGGCAATATCTTCAAAGGTGGATCCGGAGGCGATTGCTGGCGCGGCATCTCATGACAGTTTTCGCTGGCAAGCTGCAGGCCGTGAAACTACTGTGGCTCTCCGTAGCGAGACAAGCCAGGCCCAGCGACATAGTGCGACACAAATCACAGCCACTTACATGCAATGCTGAAAGGCCTGCTGGGGGCCCGGAGAGCGTGTGACCCCCTCACTGCTTGCACTGAGACGGCAAGAGTCGCCAGGGCCAAGCAACAAGTGGAAGAGGTATCCCGACCTGGCAAAGAGTCATCACGGGGTAGCTGTTGCGAGCTGATTCTGAATGCAAGTTTCTTCTCTTTTGCTTGATAGTCTGGTGCAGAATCGTGCAGAATCTTTTGGCAAGGTTGAAGTCGTCGACCTTGGTGGCGACCTCAGGTTTGCCGCTTGCTGCCGAGAGTTGACAGATGTGGACTACAGATTTGTGGCTTTGGCCTGTCCAGCTAAAACAGACCATGTGAGGTTTTGTTTGGTGCAGGCGTTAGGATTTGAAGCAGAGGGTGCGTTCTAGTCGTTCGTGTTCTATGAAAAGAGCTGAGAAGACCCAGCGCAAATGCTTTCCCGTCATAACATACTGAACAGCTACGCCGGCCAGCTTCCCAGCCTCTGTCAACAGAAACCAGGAAAGTCCGTGACAGGTGGTAGCTGCGACTGTTGTCCTGTGCCACGATTCTGGTCCTAATTTGAATCTCTAAAATCCGAGGCCAGTACAGTGCAAAGCACAGCAACTCTTGTATGCCTGGCTCTAAGTTCTACTCAGCTATGCCCAGCTTTGTTTTGTTGCTGTGTGGAGGTTCCTGACTTGCGCAATTACCTTGGCAGATCGGCGACTTCAAGGTTCTTTCACGCCTGAGAATCACAATGGCGTTCTTGAGTGGGTGCTGAGGCCATGAAGATGCTCACTTACCAGGTGCCTTGGGCGACCATATCCAGGCCATAGCGCCCATTCCCCAGGCGAGATTGCACTTTTCATGGAACCCTGCTGAAATGATTTATCGACAAGTGTGATGCTGCAAACTGAGCTGACATAGTTTGCCATCTGATTCTGGTTCAAGACGTAGAAGTGCAGACACAGTGCCACGCCGAGCGTCTTCCCTGCATCACGGCGACGAAGCTTGGACTCTGCATCACAGCAACAGTGACATCGTGGCAGCATGTGGCAGCTTGTGTGTTTTTTGGGGGTCTTGGCAGCTCTTGGCAGCTCCTGAAGGTGCCGTTGCGGCCTGGCCTGGCCTGCCAACGGCCTGCCAAGGGCCTGGTCATGCCACGCGAGACACAGACACATCAGACACCAGCAGGATGCCAACGCAATGCTCCTGGGCCATCACTGGTTTGGCGTGGCTGTGCGATGCTGCGCGTGTCTTCTAGTTTCTTGCAATGCTCGGCTTGAGCAAGGTGCAGGGCACCATGGGCTTCAGAGCCTGCGTGGCCGTCGTTGGTTGGATCCCTGCAACCATACTGAATATTGTACTGCCGGCGTCTCTGCTGCAGGTTGATCCGGGCTAGTGGATTCTACGAGGTCAGTATATGTTACTAGCCTGTGCCTGCTGTCAAGTGGGCTACCATGTCATACCATCTGTAGAACTTGTCAAGCTTGGATCGAGGGTAGATCCAGTTAGGGTTATAGCCGATTGTATCTGTGCTTACGAAGAATGGGGTTGCAGCCCCAGTTTTTCCTTTTGTCAGTGCATTTCATGGAACTTGGACGAGGATTCAGGGTTGTGGTGCTAGCTTTGAGAACAAAACTGAAACTGTTTCAGGATTCAGGGCTTAGCGGTTCTGGGTTTCAGGATGTAATGCAACAAGAAACGGTCTGACTATGTCTTTCGTGTGAATGCAAGTTTCCTCTGTTTAAAGCAGCAGGTACCCTCGTGTGAGAATCTCCTCGTCTACCTTCAAAGCACAACCGTAAACATTTCTGCAAAAAGGGCCATGATCGGGTGGCAAGATGATCGTGGGAGGGTGGGCAGGGTTTGGGGGCAGAAATGGGCAGGGCAAGGGGAGGAGGGGGATTAGGGCTTAGGGATTTTTTGGTCAACTGTGCGGGCTTTGCCATCAAGAGAGGTAAGTAGGGTGCAGGAGGAATTTAGACCTTCCAGGGCTTGGGAAGACCGAAGCTTCTACTTAAGCGTCAATTTAGAAGATCAGTCGAAGCTTCAATCCAGGAGCGCTTTCATATTATTACAGATCAAGAATTGTTTCTACTACAGCCTATGTAAAAGACTCTGGAACAGCTTCCACGAGGTCCCATTCAAGCTTTTAGTCAAAAACAACGACCTATAAGGCTTCTATTTTTAAAACTTGTTCTGGAGCCCTGACTTTCCTTCGCAATGCTTGCAGGTGATATTCATATGATGTATGCATTTACATATCTATTGGCCACTTCTGGAACTCAAGGTTTGCTTTTAAAGCAGCATTGCAACACTATGCACGACACCTTCTATCATAATGAAATCCGAGATACTCACGGCAGCAGACACCCTCTTCATTTGCAGACCCTGAGCTTAAACTCCTGAACAAGTTGAAAGGAAATTCCCAGACACGCTGGGGCAAAAAGGGACTTCGAGCGCTGTTAGGGCCTACTTGACCCACAAATCCCAGAAGTGTTAACACAAAGCCCCAACCCTACAACTGCATCCTCTTCAAATCCTTGTCACTCTTGCAGCTCCCTATGGAAACCCTTGGACCCAGGCTAGCTCTACGCCCTGTGATTAAAGCCGGAGGTCTTCCATGGGGAGTGATATCCCGCCTTACCCCTACCCCTAAGCCTCTGATGGCCGCCCAAAGCTCAAGAAGGTGACGCTTGAACAAAGCCCGCGATGGGGTCTTCAATTAGATTTGAATAGATTCGAATATGGGAGGATCTAGACTCAGGAATCCTGAAAAAAGTTTTGTGGTGTCGAGCGATGCAGATTGCCTGAGCTCAATGGCCTTGAATGCGACGCCCAAAGCTCGAGCAAATGCCTCGTGAAATGAAGCCCCGATCGAATCCAATCTTTGTAGATTGGCTCCAATCACCCTTGGAATGTGAAGTACAACTGTGTGCAGTAGAAGAATCTTAAATCTTCAATCCGCACAATTAAATTCAACCAGTCTCCATTGAGTACATGGCGCATCGGAGTCTAGTGATTGATCGAAGGCTTGTGCAATCCCGGCTCTCGTATCCTTGTTTTCCGGAGCCTTCGGAATATCGCTGCTATTCCCGCTTCGAGAGCAACCAAGTAAGTAGGTGCTGACAAAGATTTCCGAAACAAGTGACAAGTTTTCTATGATGCTACGGGGCTTCCCCTGAGTCTGCAGAGAGTTCCTCTTAAACAAACTCCACAAGGAGCAGTTCAGGAAGCAATGTTGGAGCATTTCACTCCTCATCGCTTATGAGAAAGCACGTTATGTTTCAGATGCTTTCCTGTTTCCATTGTTCGGGCAACCAAGTAAGTAGGTTCCACAAAAGGCGTCGTCTGAAACTAATAATAGGCGAGAACTATGAACACGTTTTCCGTGATTCTACGCGACTTTCGATCAATGAAGAGAGATCCTCGGAGGCAAGCTCCATGAGAGGAAGGTGAGGAGGAAGTGCCTGAGCCTTCAATGCCTCAGGAAATTTTAAGAGCAAATCATGTGTCAGAATCAGCTCTCATATTCTGATTTCACGAAAAAAACACCTTCTAGTCATTTTGGGGACAAAGCCTTGTTCTTTGCTTGGGTTCTTGGTTGCGAAAT